CGGTAGAGACTTTGCGCCAGGGGCTTCCTCCTCGCCGGGGAACTGCTGGAGAGCGCAGACAAAACACAGGCGCTGGTGTAGGCTCCGCAGTAACACATCTGCACTCACGATGGCATCGACAGAGGCTCTTATTGGATTAAAAGTTTCAAAACAAACCGTAACGCTTTGGAAAAAGGTCAGAGTGGCTAAAGTCGGTTCTTGAAAACAGTATGTACGCTTCCCTAGTTGCTGATAAGTGTTGTAAATGCGGGCCACAGTGAGCTTGTCAGGATACGTTCCTGGAGTTCCAGAGCTTACATTGACTATGTGATGTCTCGTACATGTATGGATAAGCGAATGCACGTTGGGCTCAAGCCAGTGTCTTCCTGTCGGGATTTATATAAATATACCCTCAACTACTGAAGACGAACGGATGCTTACAGGCTTAGTGTTTCAGCTATTTTTAAAAAAAACTCTCTTAATGGACAGATTTTGTCCATACTTGGTAAGTGCTCTATTTTTTACTAGCTTTGGGGAACTAAATTTCCGAATCAAATTATCATCACTACCCCGAAATTCCTAATTTCGAATTTGGTTGATGCAACTATACCCGGCTTTTCCTAATTCCGAGAACTGAACTCCGCGTCCTTTACATCTTGATTGGGCCCTGACATAGCTGTGGAATTCTTCCTACCCTGGGATTTGCCTCAAGAGTCCTATATCCAAAGCCTTTTTGTGGGGTCTCTGACTCTTAGGCTTAGAAACATTGGCCTACATTCCTGTGGGATATTAGTCACTTTGTAACATAATAAACATGACTTAAGCAGCATGTAGTTAAATACTGAGAAAACATGGAATATTTAAACCCATCCATACAGAACTACATTTATTCAAAAAAGCTTATTTTCTTCAGAGAAAATTGTAAGGTTATCATGGGATTTTATATTCAGTCTGCAAATGCCTGATGGTTAACACTTTTAAAAAGTGCTTCCACCTACCTTCTGTTGAACTTCTATTTTGATGTTGTCTTCCTTAGCAGTGAAAGTATGGGAATAGCTTGAGTTTTTAGAAGTCTAATAACTTTTTAGTTTTAACTGTATCCTCCTGTGAAACCTAGACTTACAAACCTGTTATCTTCCTGGTTCCATAGCTAAACATAAGGGAGTTATCTCTCTTACTTGGACATTTTGAAATTTTACCAAATAATATTTTTAAACATTTGAACAAGAAGACAGCAGGAAGCATAATTATAGTTAATGAGAATGTGGTTTCTTTTTTCAACAGGGTTGAATGCCTGCCTGTACCCTCAGGCATGACCATGGAGAAAGGTGGGAACATACAACTGGAGATCCCTGACTTCAGCAACTCTGTCCTGAGTCATCTAAACCAGCTGCGTATGCAGGGCCGTCTCTGTGATATTGTGGTTAACGTACAAGGACAAGCTTTTCGGGCTCACAAGGTGGTGCTGGCTGCCAGCTCCCCATATTTCCGGGATCACATGTCCTTGAATGAGATGAGTACTGTCTCCATTTCAGTCATCAAGAACCCTTCTGTTTTTGAACAGCTCCTTTCTTTCTGTTACACGGGGCGGATATGCTTGCAGCTGGCCGATATCATCAGCTACCTAACAGCTGCCAGTTTTCTGCAGATGCAGCATATAATAGACAAATGTACACAGATCCTGGAGGGCATTCATTTCAAAATTAATGTGGCTGAGGTTGAAGCAGAATTAAGTCAAACAAGGACAAAGCATCAAGAGAGACCTCCAGAGTCTCACAGGGTGACACCAAACCTCAACCGCTCCCTTAGCCCACGACATAATACCCCAAAGGGAAACTGGCGAGGTCAGGTTAGTGCCGTGCTGGATATTAGAGAGCTAAGTCCTCCCGAGGAGTCCACTAGCCCTCAGATACTTGAACAGAGTTCTGATGTAGAGAGCCGGGAGCCCATTCTGCGGATCAATAGAGCAGGACAGTGGTATGTGGAGACAGGAGTAGCAGACCGGGGGGGTCGGAGCGATGATGAAGTTAGGGTTCTTGGAGCAGTGCACATCAAAACTGAAAATCTGGAGGAGTGGCTTGGGCCTGAGAATCAGCCTTCTGGAGAAGATGGGAGTAGTGCAGAGGAAGTCACAGCCATGGTGATTGACACCACAGGCCATGGTTCTGTGGGACAGGAAAATTACACTTTAGGGCCTTCAGGAACCAAGGTGGCTTGGCCAACAAGCAGTGAAGTTGATCGGTAAGTTTGTTTTGTTTTGCTTTCCCATCTAATGCCTATTGTGTAGACATCCCAAAAGTGTGCCCTCTGCTTCAGAGAGCATCTTCCTTACCTGATGTTTCTAGCCAAAATAAGTTGATGTTGGGGAAACTGGGGGTGTGCCAAAAGACTTGCATTCTTATTTTTTTAAAGCAGGAAGCTCCTCCTAGTCCTGAAGTATTCACAAAGTTGTGAGAACTATGGTAAAGTTAGACACTTCCATGAATCAGAATAGCATCTGCAGCCACACTAGGATCAGTAATTGCCAGGGCTTCCTCGGGATTCCAGGCAGGGAGCTGAACCTCAGCCGGGAACCTGGCAGCATTGCCCCTTCTTGGTATGTTATTGCACAGGTAGGTGGCCTCGGGAATTGCACTTTCCTTTGTAGCACTGATTGCTTTTCTTTGTTCCCACCTACCAAATTTGAGGAAGTATGGTACCAGCTGTTCTTTTCAAATTAGTGAAACACAGTCATTCCACTGAAAACCTTTTCGGATTCATTGGTTTTTTTCCCTTGTCATTTGATGATATTGTCCTGTTTTCCTTTTTTTTTGAGTTGGAGTCTCACTCTGTCACCTAGACTGGAGAGCAGTGGCATCATCACTGCCGCTGCAGCCTTGAATTCCTGGATTCAGACAAATCCTCCCACCTCAACCTCCAGATTAGCTGGACTGTAGGCAGGTCCCACCACACCTGACTAATTTCTTGATTCTTTTGTAGAGGCAGGGTCTCACTGTGTTTCCTAGACTGGTCTCAAACTCCTGGACTCAAGCAGTCCTCCTGTCTCAGCCTCCTAAAGTGCTGGGATTGCAGGCATGAGCCCTTGTGCCAGGCCATCTTCCTGTTTTCTTTTTTGGAGTTGGAGTCTCACTCTGTCACCCAGACTGGAGTGCAGTGGCCACTCCCGACCACCACAGCCTCGACCTGCTGGGTTCCGGCAATCCTTCCGCCTCAGCATTCCAAGTAGCTGGAACTACAGGCGTGCGCTACCACACCCGGCTAATTTTTTGATTCATTGTAGAGATGAGGTCTCACCAAGTTGCCCGG